TTATTTTATATTTGTATTATTATACCATTTGTATATTATATAAGATATATATATTATTTTTTTAATAATTATTATTTAAAACGAGTAATATATATATAATTATAATATATATATTGTATATATAGAAATAAATTAAAGATATAGTGTGTGTGTGTGTGTGTGATTATAACTAACCGGTTTCGGTCTTTCTTCTCGAAGAAAATTTTTCAAATCACCGCCAGCTAATAATTCCAATACGATGTATCTTGGATGCTTGTCAAAAGATACACCAATAAAATGTACTATATTGGGATGACTAAATTTACTCATGATAAGTGCTTCCATCATGAAATCAGCTTCAGCTTGAGACGTCGTTAAGGATGGTAAAGTTTTAACAGCTACCGGGTGTTCCTCGTTACGTCTGTATTTGTATACTCCTTGAAATACCTCACCGAAAGCACCTTGTCCAAGTGGTCTAGTTTTGTATCGTATCAGAAAATAAATAAATTAACGTGTTAAATAATCCATCGAAGAAATAAAAAAATAAATACTTACTTAACCAAAGTGATATGTTCACGTGGTATCTGATATAAATCTTTAATACTGTATAAATTCCCAGCGAATTCGTAATTAGGATTAAATTCTGTCATCATACTATCCGAGACAACTCCTAAAGCTGTCAATTCGGTACCATTTCCAAACATCGCTTGGCGACGTCGTAAAAGAGCTTTACGATTCTGATAACGATTATCTGCGAGATGAACACACGCGTACACAACACAACAAAATATTAATTCCAATAAATATTCATTTTTAAATCTCCAATCACAATGAAATAACAAATTTTGATAGCTTACAAAGCATCCAACCGAGTCCGGTGAAAACCAACAATAAAATACTGCTGGAAACTATTAACGAAATCATAAACTTTTGATAAGACACGTTTGAATCGTTGGCCACTGCAATAAACACGTTATTACCGTCAGAAAATATTTATATATATATATATGAGCCGTTTATTTTGAAAGTGTCATAAGTCACTTTTTCAAAAAAATCAAGTTAATGCCAACACTAATTACAATTGAACGGTATCTTTTTATTTTCAGTAAAAAAAAAAAAAAGTGACTTATGCCACTTTCAAAATAAACGGCTCATATATATATAAGTATATAATAACCATAATATTTTTAGATATTAATAATTTATCACTTACTGTTACAAGATTTGGAATCATTATCTAGTATCCAACCAAGTGGACAAAGACATTTGGTGTCACTCAAATATTGATCGAGTGCAACGCAACGAAAATCACAACCGCAATTACTAATGGCAGGTATTATATAAACTTCCCCGGGTCCAGCATTAGCAGCAGGTTTAAAATATACGTGAAGGAGATCACGGGATACGTATGAATATCCACCCTCGCCGTTACCGGAATCCTTTAAACCGGTACTACCACCTGCGTGAATATTATCCCACGTTTTATCCAAGTGATTATGAATATTTGTTATAATTAAGAAATTTATGGAAAATAATGATTAAAGATTGTTAACAATTTGTATTTACCTATATAACCACCACCCCCACCACCTGTTAAACAACCACCACCACCTCCACCAAATCCACCATTACCATAACCTTGTTTTCCGGAACCACAACCAGCACCACCATATCCTCCCCGAACCAATGGAATTCCAGCTGCTACTCGTGATGTACCACTTGAACTATTCCAACCACCCCCTGGACCTGTTTCGATTAATATTATATTTAAAAAAAAAAAAAAATCCCTATAAATATTTAACACAGTTACCTTAATAAGTAAATTGTTTTTTTAGCGATACCTGCGTTGTCAGTAATCGCTAATCCAGAATGAGGTTTGTCCGAAAGTTCTGAAAGACCTTTCCCATGTTGTATACCATCATCAACATCTGGCCCAAAACGTAATCCCAATCCACCACCACCGGCAGCGATTAACAATGGTTCATGATCATTATTGTTTTTTAGCTGTAAAACAATTCCTATGTATATATAGACTATATTTGAATTCTATGTTTCATTTTTATTCCATTTAATCATTTTGCTTACGGTAAATATATAAGTGGCACCACCCCCGCCACCACTGCCATCTTTCACCTCCATTTTTCTCACTTCTTCCATTACAGACGATACACCACCCGTTTCTGTTATTACATCGTATCGTGGATTACACTTTTTCGTTCGCCATCCTAAATTCTGTAAATTCATTAATCGTTTAATCCAAAATATATCAATCATCCACACAATCACACTTTTCATTTAATTTTCAAATTATTTGATATGAAAAGAACTTATTACGCGCGTATGGGGTGGGTGGGGTACCTGAGAATTTGATTATTAAATATTACAAAGGTATAGGAAAATTATGTATAATTAAATGGAATGAATGATTTGTTTGAAATATTGTTTACCTTAGGACACGCGTCAGTTCCAGGTTGTCCAATCATAAAATAAAGTTGATCACCCTTTTCTAATTCAACAACACCACGAACAAATGCACCCAAGGAATTTCCTATGTCACCAGCACCTCGGCCACCACGTGCACCCATTCCAATTAAACTATTAACAAATTATTTTCCAATCAAAATATCCCGGTTACACATAAATTATTCAATTTTTATTCAATTTATACTATTATTTCGTTTTATATAATTTGACTTTGTTAAAATAATAAGATTTTATATAAAACAATGTTATATTATATATATAAAAAAATGTAACAATAAGAGATTTTATATAAAATAAATGTTCTTCTTACGTATAATATCCACCGCTTGGTGCAATCCAACTTTGAATTCCAGTTAAATTGGCAAAAGGAAAATTTGTTTGATAGGTTTTAGATGGCAATTCAACCATTTTAACATTAGTCGCATTATGTTCTTCCATACATTGTTCTGCGGTTGGACCTACTCTACCGATAGCACCACAAGTAGTTATATGAATGACTAAAAATAATATACAGATATATCAAATTATATGATTATTATATATTTCATATGAAATATCATTCGAGAATCGATTATTATACCTGTTTTATTAACAAAGTCAACGTGTGGTTCAGGAATACTTTCAGATTCTATTATTGGATTATTATAATCAAAACTTCCAACAACTTCTGGTGGTACTCCTAAACCATAAGACAAGAATTTCAATTCGAATAGTTAGAATTGTATAAATGACAAGGTAATTAATAAGTAATAATAATAATGACATGTAAGGTGACAAATTTTTATAGAAAAATTTCATTCCTTTTTTTCAAGACTTTTAAAATGAATATTTATTCATATAATATTATTAAACCTGATTATGTGTGAGATAGTTTAGAAATAATTGATTAATCCTGTATTATTTAAAGCTTACCTATACCGAAACATTCTGGACTTAGAGAAATATCATCTATTGCTATATCACCTTTAGAACCATATCCTTTTCTTATTTCAAATAGAAAATAATATCTAAAAGATAAATATATATTAACTCGTACCACATATTAATTTTACAGTCACACACACACATTATCATTTATTAATTACATACCTATGTCGTACTTCTGGTAAAGGAATAGCTTGACTATACCAATCGTCACTTCTATCGCTAGAAGACCACCATAATAATTGTGTACTATTTCTATGTGGTTTTACTTGAACCAAAAATAATCCTAAAGAACCACGCGGTACACCGTGACGATGATAAAAAAATCTTATCTGTAATAAAACATATAAAATGAAAAAAGAAATAAAAATATAATAAAGAAAGAAATTTTATTATATATACCTACTTGACAACTATGATGATAAGAACTATTTGGATCATTACTATATGGTGGTGTTGGATTAAACAATGGGCTTTCCAATAATCCTTCATAACCATAATTTCCTCTAGCAGTATTCACGTAAACGTATGTTCCTAGAATGATCAAATGATTAAATATTCTTATGTAAGAACATTTTAATTAAATTCTATATACATATATATAACATATTTATGTATACAGAATTTAATTGTAATGTATATATATTGTAATGTATATATATATATATATATATATATATATATATATATATATATGAAGAAAATATTAAAAGAGAAAAATGTGTTATACCGGTTGCATTGCGATAAGTATGATCATAACTTGGTCCAGATCTTTCGGTTGGTGTCGGACCACAATGAAGAGTCCAATTGAATACATTTCCTGGAACATTTCTCCAACCGCACCAGCCATTTTCAAAATTACACCTAGCATGTGGAGGCATTTTATCTGAAATTGATCATTCGATTATTATCAACGAACGATTAATATTCGAGTCATTTATTGTTGCTTGAATTTTTATTCAAATCATTTGACGTTTTGTCGTATTAAATAAAATATAATATCGATACGGAAAATGCATTAGATTATATCAAAACCGAAAGAAGACAAAACAAAATAAAATAAAATAAAATAAAAGGAAGATTAAATTTTTTATAAAATTACCGCAATCTGGACCTTCGTCTTCTCCATCGACGCAATCTTTCGACAAATCGCATATTCGTGTTCTATTCAAACAGGAACCATTATTGCAACGAAACATGTCGTCCGTACAAACCATAACTTGTGGGGAATACTCTGTTACGAATATATTAACGTAATTATAATTTGTCAATCGAATTGCGAATTTACGATAAATATCAAATTGATTTGTTGAATGGTTTTTTTTATTTTATTTTTTTTTTATTTATTATTACCTGGAAAACAATCGATCAAACGAATATCGTCAACGCCTATGCTTGATTTGTTATAGGGTATAAGAAATTCCATAATTAGACGAAATTTTTGTTGAATCGCACCGATGTTGAAACTGATAAACTCCCATCTAAATGTTGAATAAATATTTCGTGTACGTGTGTACCGTTAGTTGTTTATTTTTTTTTTTTTTTTTCGGATTTCATAAATATATCGTGATAATATATATATTAAAAAATCTTCATACTTACACGGCATTATTGTTTCCACTGCGTTCACTTGCAACGTAAGACTGATTGTTCGTATCTATTATGAAACTTATTACCCCATTTTTCATATTTTTTTGTAATAATTTCAATGTCAGATGACAATGTGATCCACTGCGTGGTATATATTCAGAATATATCATACCATTGCCGACACCATAGAATTGTAGATAACTCCCTTAAATATAAAATAATGAATCGTTATTAAAGATTACTACTCTACTATCCTCTATTATTTATTATTATAATAATTATAATAATTCAATCAGTTGTTTCTCTCGTCGAAAAATAAAATTCTTAATAAGAAGGTATCATAGGGAATTTGGATATCAAACAAAGAAGTAGAACTTTATTTTGATAAGTTGGACGTTTCGTCCCTTTATTGGGACTTTTTTCAGCAACTTAATCTTTAAAGTTCAGCGTCTTTTTTTCTTTAAGTATACATACATTATTATTTTTAATTTTAATATTCAAAACACAAAACATCTACACTTCGTTAATTCTTAATCCGTTATAATCCGTTTAAAGATTAAGTTGCTGAAGAAGTCCCAATAAAGGGACCGTTTCGTCCAACTTATCAAAATTAAGTTCTACTTCTTTTTTTGATGTCCAAATTCCCTATGATACCTTCTTATTAAGAATTATAATAATAATAACAATAATAAATGCGCGTAACTTATTATTAATCGTAACATAATTTTAATTAATTAAAATAAAACGATTCGCGTGATATATTTACCTTGAATTCCAGTTGTATTTATGACTTCGTTTCTAGCATTAGAGGTAATATTTTGCCAATACCATTTACAGACACTATCCATATTACAACGGCCATGTAAAAGTTTAGTTTCTTTATCATCGGTCATGGCTAATCGTAGATCGTTTATACCACGTGAAAATCTTTTAATCCAATCGTAACGATTGTCGCAATAAACGTTGTTTATGCAACACAATATTAAAATGATTTTCAACAAGGAATATTTGTTATATTTCACTTGTTTTTCTTTTGATTGTCGACTCCAGGTGGCTGGAATCACCGGATTAATAGTCGCGGTTCCCAGCTCAAACCGCTTTGCTCTGATCATTACTCTGTGACTTCGTCCAGTGAATTACTATCCTCTAGATCTTTAACGTATCCTGTAATAATTATTGTCATAATCACTATGAATATTTATTATCAATCATATATATATATATATATATTTTTTTTAAATATAATAAGATGTATAATATAATATAACAATATGAATATTTATCATCAATAATCATATATATATTTTCTTTTTTTAAATATAATAAGATGTATAATATAATATAACAATCT